AAACCCTAAACCTTAAACCCTAAACCCCAAACCCTAACCCTTAAACCCTAAACCCTAAACCCCTAAACCCTAAACCCTAAACCCTAAACCAATAGGACCCTTTCGAAGAGGACCTGACGCCTCCGGCCTCGGAAGATGCGCTCGCCGGGTGGCGGGCGGTGCTGCAGGCTCGAGACGAACAGGGTTTGGGGTTTAGGGTTTAAAGTGTAGGGTTTAGGATTTAGGGTTTAGGGGTTGGGGTTTTGGGTTTAGGGTTCAGGGTTTGGGGTTTAGGGTTTAGGGTTTAGGGCTGAGGGTTGAATACTCCTAAGCCCGAGACCTTAAAAAAGCAAACACCGTAAATCCTAAACCCCGAATCCTTAAATCCTAAACGCCGAATCCCTAAACCCAAAACCCTGAATCCCGAAACCCTAAACCCTGAATCCCTAAATCCTGAACCCTGAATCCTACGACCTGTGTGGCGATTTTCAGTGTCTTAGCTTCTTGACGGTTTCAGATAGGGTTCAGGGTTTAGGGCTTTGGGTTTAGGGTTGAGGTTTCAGGGTTCAGGGGTATAAACCCTAAACCCTAAACCCTAAACCCTTAGCCCGAAGGGCTTTGGAGCTGAAAAGCTGCGAGTTTCTTCCGCTTCAGCCCCCGTGGACAGTTCGGATTTCGTTTGGGGATGGCGACCCTAAGCCGTCACCTCGGAATCCTAGGGTTTAGGGTTTAGGGTCTAGGGTTTCGTTTGGGGATCACGAATCCTACGAGCCATAGCGCTTCAAAATAAGAAAGCTTAACCTGAAACCCTAAACACGGCCGGCATCGCAGCGAGAAAGGGGGGGGGGGGGCGCATGGCAACCTTAGCAGAAAATGTCTCGGATAGAGGACGTTATTTCAGGCATATACAACGATTCATATTGGGGTCTTTATTTAAGGTGAACTAATTCAGGAATGTACCATGACACATATCGCGGTTTCTGTTCTATTTCAAGGGCGTGTTGCTGATTCACGTTTTTTGAGTCTGTGGCGTGGGTTTCATGATAGAGCGAAGCTTTGTATGAACCTTGACCCATGGACTGCCAACCCGAAACGGGTCCTTGGGTTCCCGCGGTTGATGATATGAATCCTGCATTACCCATCATAAGGAATATACCATAATTCCACTGGTTTAGGGTCCTTATAAGGTAATGCAGGGTTTATATCATCGAAAGTATTCCAGCTATATTAAAGTGCACCTCAAAGCCTTTGTCTTATCATTGCGGCCTCTTTGCTCATCTCCAGCCCCCCGAAGCCAAACTCTGAGCCCAAACCGGGGCTTCCAGAGGAAGGTATGAAACCCTAAACCTAAAACCGCCTAATCCACCCTTAAGCGATTAGGTTTAGGGTTTATACTCCAGAATCTACCCATCCGAGAAGTGTCCTCAACAAAATCAGAGAGATAGTCAACCCGAGAGCAATTCCAGCACCTCCTGGCGAGGGTGACTGGTCCTCCACAATCCTCCAAGAAGGATCGCTGGCCGGCTGCGAGGCAGCGAAGCCTGGGCGGTTCGTTCGGGATCAGAGGGTTTTGGGCTTTGGGGACTGAGGCAAAAACCCTAAACCCTAAACTCTAAATCCTAAACCCTAAATCCTAAACCCTAAACCCTAAACCCTGCTAGAGTTTCGGCTGTGGAGAACCCGGTGAAGCCCTAAACCCTAAACCGGAAACCAAAGACGATGCGAACTCTCCCCTGCACCCGTCAACCTGGGCTTCACCGATGAAGAGAAAAACACATTCGCTAAGGACTTGGAGTAGTTGGATTTAGGGTTTAGGGTTCAGGGTTTAAGGTTTAGGGTCTAGGGTTTCAGGTTCAGGGTTCAGGGTTTAGGGTTTAGGGTTTAGGGTTTAGGATGCCCTAAGTGTAAAGGACCCCAAAGGTCCAAAGGACCCAATAGTCAGGCACTTAGGTTTCGGATGGTAGTTATGTAGGTTACCACTTGGGAGAGTATATGATTATTAGCTACTTGGACCCTTAAGCACTCAGCCGTAAACCCTGGATCCTTTGAGGGGCCTCTTGAGGGTGGCAAGCTCGGGTGAAGCTCGTACTGAATCTGGAGGTGCAACGCAACTTGAGAAGCTGTAGGGTCTAGGAAAACGACAAAAAGTCAGAGCCAAGATTACTGATGGATCAACCGCCTCTTGTTTGCGGGACTCCGTGTTCGGACCCTATTGGGAGGGGGGTTGCGACTCAGGGAATTGCACAAGCTAATAAAAGCCCTTGCATGGATCATACAAAAAAACTAACCCTAAACCCTAAACCCTAAACCCTTAAAACACTTTCAAAAAACAGCCCGGGCTCACCAAAGAGCCTTCGCCTATGCTAAGCCATGGGAGCTGTGCAGAGCTGCAAAGCTGAAGAGGCTATTTCGAACGTGAAGTCCAATGTGCCTGGGACAGCTTAGGTTGTTTGGTGTGGGGTAGACGGATTTTGTAAGACCATCGCGAAAAAACTTGCTTTTTCTCACTCTCCCTGTCTCTCTTGGTTTCGTTTTCTTTCGTAGAAAGGTAGCGTCTCATAGCTTGTAGACTGGATTGGGCTTTGGATTGCTGCATCCTTGTTGCTGTGTGAGCTTGTCGTGCTCGTCTTTCGTGTATACTGGGCTGCTTCGCAAACCTTAAACCCTCACCCTAAACCCTCATCCCTGAAGATACTCCAAGAAACATACCTGATTTTGACCGTGAGTGCCGAGGTACATCAGTGCTACTTTCCGATGTGGGTCGTCAGGCCGGAATTCCGGAGCAATGAGCTCAAATGCCCTAAGCCTAAGCCCTAAGCCCAAGTGCTACTTAGGGGTGAGAATCCGAAGCCCGAGTTCATGGAGCAGCAGCCCTCCCAAGCAGTGAAGCCACAACTCCAAGACACCCCAATCCCAAACCCACTCCTAAAACATGCGCACCCCTAAACCCTAAACCCTGAACCCTAAACCCCAAACCCCAAACCCTAAACCCTAAACCCTAAACCCTAAACCCGAAACCCCAAACCCTAAACCCCAAACCCGAAAAACCCTAAGCCGCCAAAAGGGTTTCAGACTTCCTGGAGATGAGTGGCCCTCCTGAGCCTCACGAAGCTGGGCTTTGGGAGTATTTTTACTTTGACAGGGTTTAGGGTTCAGGGTTTAGAGTTTAAGTCTGAAACCCTTTTGGGGGTTTAGAGTTCAGAGTTTAAGATTTAGGGTTTAGGGTTTAGGGTTTAGGAACCTTTTGGGGTCTTAGGGTTTTGGGTTTAGGGTTGGGGGTTTAGGATATGTATGAAAAAAATCCGTGAGGCCGAAATGGCGGGCGATGACAGCACAGACCTGGAGCCCGAGGTCACACCCAGCGACCTACGACAGGCATGGTCTAGCCTTCTAAAAGCTGTCTAAACCCTAAAACCCTAGAGCCCTAAATCCCAAACCCTAAATCCCAAACCCCAAAACCCTAAAGTTTTAGCATATGTATAATATAAGGGATCCCATGAAGCAGCATTCCGGGTTGGGGCAGGCTTTGGTCCTCAAACCTACATACCCGAAATCTCCAACTCCAGGACCTCAAAGCAAACATGAAACCATAGAGTTTTAGGGTTTAGGGACTCTAAGACCGTACAAAAACCCATGAAACTCTAAAGCTCATAGCCCCAATTACACCCTAAACCTCTATTGGGGTCTAGGGTTTAGGGTTCTAGCACCTCCGAAACGAAAATATCACAGGCCTTTGAGCAGTTTGCGGCTCGCGCAGAGCTGCCGCCCTTCGCTTGGCTGCCGGGCGAGCTGCTGGATCCCAATGCTGCACAGGACAGGAGGGTTTAGGGTGTAGAGTTTAGGGTTTAGGGTTTAGGTTTAGAGTTTAATTAGGGTTTAGGGTTTATAGTGTGTAGAGTTTAGGGCTTCGGGTTTAGGGTTTGGGGTTTAGGAAGGATGACCCAAATAGCAGCGGGCTTCGGGATGAAGGGGGCTTATGATGCCCCTCAGGATGACATCACTAATGTAAGTACGTCAGACTGTTAGACTCTAGAGACATTCAATGTTTTTGGTATTAAGCAATACTTTTGTCTTAAACGAGTGTTATAAGTTGTTTTTGGTAGTTAGGGTTTCTTGAAGTGTTTTCTTCAGGGGTCTATATAGGCCTGAATTTTGAATGGGTTTTGGGGAGAAACCAAAAGAGCTATAACTACACAGGCACTTTTTGGTTTCAGGCACAGAGGTCTGCAAGCTTCCAGAATTATTCTTGTGCGTCTTGGGCCCTAAACCCTAAACCCTAAACTCTAAACCAACCGGAAAGTCAAGGAAGTTTAGGGTTCGAAGACACAAGGAGAGACAACACAAAGTCGCCCAGCCCTCGAAGCCTAAGAAAAGGGGCCTGAGTGATTAATGAGCTACATACTATTCTTGAGGGTTCCATATTCTAAGCATATGGTATAGTATAGTATGATAACACCCTTCAAATCCTGCAATCGCAAGGCCCCAGTATTATTAATACTAGACCCTGAATCCTAAACCCTGAAGGATCAGATTGGGGAGCCGAATCCAATCATCGAGACCCACTGCTTGTCCCACTTTGCAGCCCAACATTGGGTCACTGCTTCGGGATCCACAGCGCCTTGGCTGCTCATTGCCGGTCTAGCTTAGGAAGTTTAGTATTTAGGGTTCAGGGGTGGGGTCAGCCAGCCTCCACCCACCAGCAACCCTAAACCCCGAGCCCTGGTCGCGGATCCAAGTGACTGGTGCTTTTTCTGTACCTTCTGAAAAGGTGTTTGTGTGGTGTTTAGGGTTTAGGGCTTGGGGTGATGAGATGGTGATGGGCTTGGTGGTCAGGCGCTTGAAAGTCAGTTGAAGGAACCTGGGAGGCCGTCATGAACCAGGGTTTAGGGTTTAGGGTTTACTGCCGTAGACACGACACCCTCCCTCGACTCCAAAGCAGCCCCCACCTTTTCCCAGCAGCCCTAGTAACCCTGCACAACGAAGATCAACAAAGTACGAGGCAAAAAACGCATTGCTGCACTGGTCGTGGCAAGGAACCTTGAACAACTTAACCCCGAAGCCCTTGAACCATGAACCGAATGAACCCATTAACGTAGGGTTTTGGGGCCCATTATAGAACCCCCAGAATAGTTTAGGTAATTATTGAGGCCCTTATATTAACCCCTAAACAGCAAAGCCCGCAACCCTT